CATTTTCTCACAATGTTTCTCACAGTGGAGACTGAAAGCTGAAATCTCTGAGATAGCTTTCTGTATCCTTCCTCTAAACCATGACGGTGAACAATCTTTTTTTTCAGCTCATTTGAAAGTTGTTTTCAGACTCCCATGCTGCCACTCTTCGAAGAAGATGCAAAGAGGAGAAATACTTACTATTGCCTCCCTTAAATACCCTTTCTCATAATTGGAGTCACCTGTGTATGGAGGTCAAGGGTCGCTGAACTTACCAAACCAAATTTGAGTTCCAACAATTAGCTCTAAAGGTTTTGAAATCAATAAAATGACAACAGTGCCCAAATTTATGCACCTGCCTAATTTTGTTTAAACAATTATTGCACACTTTCTGTAAATCATATCAAGTTCATTTCACTTCTCAAATATCACTGTGTTTGTCCCCTTTAGGATATATTTAACTGATTTTTTCCCAAACAATCAATGATTTATAAAGGTAAATCAGAAAAATTATCAAGGCTGCCCAAACTTTCGCACCCCACTGTACGTTCTCACAAAGATTTTGTTAATATTAGCTCTATATATTAAGTTAGCTAAAGTGGGGAAAAAGTATTTAGCCAGCACCAATTGTTCAAGTTCTCCCACTTAAAAAGATGAGAGAGGTCTGTGATTGACATAGTTAGACCTCCTCAACTATGAGAGAGAAAATGCTATTTTCCCCACTGTACATGTGTACAGAATACTCCATCATTTAGGGCACTTKTTTTAATCTGGTCTTGGTCTTGTCTCGGTCTCGCCCTCCCTTGGTCTTGGTCTCGACTTTGTCCAAACCTTAAAAGTCTTGATCGTGTCTCGGTCTCGAGACACTGTGGTCTTGGTCTTGACTTGGTCTCGGGTTAGRTGGTCTTGAATACAACACTAATAGACACACACTTTCTTTTTCTGTGAAAATCAACCTCCTTCTTTTTTAAACTCAAAAAACTCCAAACAACTTGATGGAAGTCAAAACTTTTCCTTTTTTTTGTTTTTTTACTGGATCTAAATGTTTTTCTTACAAACAGTATTGACCTTGTTTATGAAAACCAGGAATCTGTAAATGTTAACACAACTCTGCATGTTGGAATCCACACACCTACCTGATTTATATTAGAATATCAGCCAACAGGGGAAATAAATAAAAAAAATATAATGTTTTGAATATGTAGCCTTTGAGGTTTTTTTTATCTGTTTAAATAAGTCTCTGTCAACTTATTATCCCAGAAAAATGTTTGCTACTTGCTTGTGACATATGGACATTGTGTTTGTGGAAGATGAGTGCACACCTGCAGCAGCAGCCTTTCGAAGGCCAGACAGGTGTCCCACTGGGCCAGGCTGGGGTGTCTGAGTGTCTGGGCAGTGGCCAGGCCCAGCTGGAGAACCCCACAGTGACTCTCCAGAGCCTCCCAATTGCTCTGGAACAGCTTGATGTAGGAACACAGCTGCTCAGGAGTCACACGACCTAAGAAAAAAGAAAAAGACAAAAAAAATCACACAGAGAGGAATGTGAGACAAGCAAAACTAAACAATTAGGGAACAGGAAACATGTTAATCGACTTAAAATTTTATACTTTTTGCAGTTGATGCAAACTGGTCTTCCTCACAAAAACTGTCAATGTTAAAGTGAAACTGAGTTTCTAATTAATGTCACTTAAATAAAAGTTGCATAATGGAAAAAAGTGATTGAATCAACTCAGGAAACAAAGAATAATGAATATAGAAAGAAAAGATTATTATGGATTTCCAAGGCCATAACCATAATCTGTAGTTAAGTTAAATCTATAATCAAGTAAGTTTATTCTATACAAAACTAGATATTTTCTGACATGGTGAAGTCAGAAATTTACAAGAAAAATAACTCGTAAATTTATGAGAAAAAAACTATGAAGTTTTCAGGAATGGCTTAAGGGCAATTAGGGTTAGACTAGGGTTAGGGTTGGTGGTCAGGTTTAGACTGTAGAAAATAATGGAAGTCAATGTGCCAAGTCCCCATAAACATAGCTGTACCAGATTTTGTGTGTGTGTGTGTGTGTGTGTGTGTGTGTGTGTGTGTGTGTGTGTGTGTGTGTGTGTGTGTGTGTTTTTCCTACAATGTGTGAACAATTTTCTGAAAAAAGCAGCCTCGTGGGGACCTGGCATTGGTCCCCACAGGTCCAAATGCAAATTACGGGTGTGGGGCTAGGTTTAGGACCAATGTTTAGGTTAGTTTTAGAGTCAGGTAGGTACCTGTGAGGTTAATTTTAGGGTAAATGGTCAGTGTTAGGCTATAAAGTCTAAAAAAAAGAATGGAAGTCAATGCATGGTCCCCAC